TCTGCTAACGAATCAGGTACTGTTACGATAATAGAGTGGGGCTCGAGGTTGTCATCAGCTATCTATATGGGGAGGTATGGTGCACTATGGACGGTAAATATGGTGGATAAGTTGAGAATGGCTAGTAAGTTGGAGGGTTTTCTATCCAAGTTTACCGAGTCACCACAGGCTTTTTTGGCACAACGTTGTGCGAACAGCCGAGGCAGGTACTTGACGATGGCTCAGTATGGAGAGAGGCGTCGGATGGGAGCTGTGATGGTTCTGGAAGGCATGGATGGAGAGTGATGGGCAACGCTTTCGCGAGTGTTTATGGCTGTTGTCAATTCATTTGTTGCGAGAGATAAGGCTAAACGTCGAACGATGGATGAAAGACCTAGACACGGGATGACATGCCGAAGTGACGGCTAACTCACAGACATCGCGTAAAGTTGATCATCAGAGGCTAATACGTAATGACAGGATGTATAAGGCGCGGGAATAAGATGATCATCTTTCGATGCCTAAGCCTACAGGGAGACTTGCAGGAGGTTCACATGGTGGTATACCGAACAGTGTTGAAATAGGGGCCCGTGTCCAGGCGTTGAAAGACGAGTTGGATGATTTAATCAGGCTAGTGGGATGTGGGTCTGAGGGGAGTCCTAGGATATTCTATTGTCATAAGTTTGGGGTTGGGGTGGATGAGCCCCTAGCTAATGACAATCATATAGCGAGCTTGGATCCTAAGGAAGTACCACCGAATGTAGCTCATATTAAAGACAAGCAGGGGGTCACTAAGACTAGTTGCATGTATCAGTCACGGTCTGAAGTAGTTTATTCTGGAAATGACGACGAGATCGAAGTGGTGGAGTTGGAAACGGATGAGAAAGCTTCGGGGTCCGTAGCGAAGCAGAATGTGACAGTCTCGAAAGAGCAAGATGAGGCAAGAGCAGCAGTCATGGTTGGGAACACATATAACAGAAGGCACGTTAAGTCCCTAAAAGACATAGAATTAGGGACTAAAAAAGCTTTGGTGTTGTAGGTTAATGGTGGCCAGGAGGGGGGGACCGACAAGGAGGTTGTCCATGCGGAGGTAACTGAGGGATTTTCATATGACCCATTGGAGTGTTGTCATGTAGATGAAACAACAAAGGTGAATGCGATTGAAGCTGAACCCCAACCCTCAAGTTGGGTCCTTCAAACAATGCAGGATTTCAGCAAGTTGGTTGGTGTGTCCTGCGATGGATTTGAAAGTAAACTCATGCAATTATTTGAGAAGTTGGAGGCTAGTAGGAGCAGGGAATGAGCACACAAGGAGGGAAAGTTAGAAGGAAGGGCGTCCGCGAGCTTAAGCGACTCGAATGGTCAGTAAATTACGATGCTAAGGGTGGCGAGGCAAGGAAAGTATTGTTGGGAAGGGATGACGAAGTGTTAAAATGACTCCAAAACTTATTAACTGGAATGTGAGGGGGCTTAATGAGGCTGAGAAAAGGTTAGGTATCCGAAATTTGTTAAGGGAATGGAAGGCTGAAATTGTTTGTTTGCAAGAAACTAAGTTGGAGTTTGTCTCGAGGGCTGTGGTTAGTAGCTTATGGGGGGACAGCATGTAGGATATCAGTTTTTGGGGTCATCAGGGGCATTAGGAGGCATGCTTATCATGTGGGACACCATAGTTTATGATATGGAAGATGTTAGTGTAGGATCATGCTCGCTTTCGCTCTCGTCTAGGAATATTGTGGATGGATTCCAGTGGATGTTTATAG